GTCATCTCTTCAGGGGAGAACTTAAGTATTTTATCAAATCTCTGAATGCAAAGTTGGTTCATACTTGATGCTGACACCAAGAAACGTGTAATATTAGATATACAGAATCACAGAATAGGAGAGTTGGAAGGGCCAAGAAACCCATCAGATCCAAACCCCTACAAGTGCAGGACACTGAGATGACTGTCCAGTCCCTTCTTGAGGGAGCACCCAACTTCTGCAGGTAACTGACGTACTGCTCTGACAGTGAGGAAATTTTTCCTGGGGCCTAGCTGGAATCCAGTTTCCTTTAAGTCCATTATTTCATGTCCTGCACTCTGGAATGGTCAAGATCTTGTCCTTCCTCTTTGTGACAGCCTTTCAGGGACTTGTAGAGTGTTATCCTATCACCCTTCAGTTTTCTCTTTTCACAGCTGAACACACCCTGCACTCAGTATTGCCTTGTCTGAAAAACGAATATTCATATGTATGAATACATAGAAGAGTGGAAGGTTGCAATCCAAAACAAACTACCACTTTAGATTTCATGGAAACTTGGTGCTTATTTAATATCACTCCACAGGGTCTCTGTTGCTAATCCATTTTAACTTTTGCCTGGAGTCTAGCCACTTCCAAATGAGCATCCAACACAAAAGGCCAGCTATTTTTATACAGTCTGATCCCATATTATTTGATACATGCATGAGAATAATCACTTGGGACTTTCTTGGTTACCTGGAACCACAAAGAGAGGTCACAGATTGAGTAAAACAGTTTTATGCAAGGACTCCAGTCCTCCCTCCTAGCATATGCTCTTCCTTGTTCTGGAAGAGGACCAAAAATAAGCTATTCATATGCTTTAGAGTGCCTCTGTTGGGGGAGCTACACTGTACAATCAAAAGTCAATGCCATCCTTATTCTTACATTCCATTTATATCCCACCCTTCTCCTTCTTGTGAGGAAGCCAAGGCAACTTACAGTTTCATCTTATCCTCACAACACCGAGTTAGGTCAGTCTGAGGGTCAGTGACCAGCTTCATGGCCGGGTGAGGACTACAATCTAGATCTTCATGGCCCCCAATTCAACACACTCACTGCCAAGCCATGCTGGCCAATAAAATCACACAAGCAGTGGTATTACCACGTTTTAGCTGCTTCAGGAGCAGATGATAGCAATTTTCTTATCAGTATTTGACCTCTCACATTGAAGTTCTTGCCTACTTCTTGGTCCATAAATATGTCAACCTCCCCAGAAAGGGCAAGCAGTGCCAAATTTAAATATAATTTTAGCTACACAAGATGTAAACATTATACACACAAGTTTCTGATGGCAACCTGAGTAGCAGATATGTTTAATAATTAGGATACATGTTTGTATGTAGTTTTGTAATAGTGCAAGTTTATATATGGTTTAATGTGCTCTTCAAGTTAATACCACATCAGTGATAAAATCTGGACCTGTGCAGAATTGGGTACACTTTTCTTTATATGTGCCCTTTTAGTCAATAACCATTGGTGACACTGGAGGATCTCAACATCAACTTATAAACAACTGTGAGTGGAAAATGGCAATTGCACAATACAGTTCTCATTCTTTAGCAGGTACGTCTGAGAGACTTAGTTCTAAATATGTTTGTTAACAGGTTCATATTATCAATATTTTTGTAATATCTGACCTGAGAAGAAGAGCTCACAGTAGACATGCACCGATGCTAGAAAGCCTGGCTTATCTGAGCTCAACAGAATTCCTGCCTGTTTCTGACCCAATGACTGGAAATGGCCAAATTATGTTTTTGTCTCTAGGATGGGCCTTGGTTTGCCAAGGGCTTTTTTTAACATTAAGGAAATTTGCACAAATCATGGTATTTGTATCACTTGTGTAAAGTTAGGCATTTTATGAAAATTTATACAATCCACACACATCAACCTATTGTACATATTTTGTATAGATCACATCAAAGGTATGTAGTTGGGGACCATGCATCTTTGAAATGCTAATTTGCACTAAATAGGCCAATTTTACACAAATTGTCTTTATATTACTTTTTGATGCAGTGTCTGTGGTACAGACAAGTTGACTCGATTCACAACATAACAGGCTGGCACCAGCACAGGACTGGCAAACTTCCTGTCAAATTCCTCACACGTCTCTCCCTTATGGTCAAAACATGTTTTGTGTGTTTTATATGCAGTTACTTTATATATTTGAGTGATGTATCAAGTTGTTTCTTTTAATTGCTGCAAGTCAAATTTGGCTTATGCATTTTTGTGATATGTAAATGTTTCCCTGTTTTGATTAAACTACATACCCACATTTGTCAGGGTTTTTTGGGGGAGAGGGGTGAAACATACCTGTGCTACTTTATAGATGAATGAAGCAAGAGTTCTCAATTACCTTAGTGGAAAAACTTTGCAGAGTGCTTTCTTACTCTATTGATATTTTGCCTCAGGTATTCAGAAGTCAAGAATTAACCTAATTAACAGGACTAGTAGTCCTAAAAGGAAATTTTGTTCTGGATAAATGTACACTCAAGGCCTTTGGTAACTTTTATTAACTTAATGGTTAAAACCATTACAGAGCTAATCTTCAGCTCATAATCACAGTACTATGAATGATTCATTGGAACTAAGTCTTTGTTCTGTTTGTTCTGCACAAATAAAGGGACTGCATTAATAGGAAATCTCCAAGAGATGCATAAACCAAAGGCAACTCTCATCTGAAACAGAAAGTTCTGTTCAGAATATCTGTTCAATATCCATCTGTCCCACATACCAAGTTAGTTTTCTCGAAAAACCCTTTATATGGAAACATATCCCCACAGATTTAGGCAGGTTGCTTATCTGTAACTGTCATTCTTTGAGTGGTCATCTCTGCGTTCACATATGTAAGCTTTGCCATGCCAGTGCGCGGCTTAGATTGGAAGAAACTTCTATAGCATAGTGTCATGAAGTAGGCAGAAATCCCCCTGCCCCTTCTGGGTCCCAGGATAAGAAGGATGGGGCTCCCACCCAGTCCCTCAGTTGCCTTGGAGGTGGCATCAACTCCAGGCATCTGAAGGTGTGGGTGTAGATGAGGTAGTGACCCAGTCCACATCCCTGCCTGGCACCCCATGTCATGCGGGGCTGCAGCAGCCTGACAGCAGCAAATGGGCAGAGGGTAGGTTGTGTGAATGCAGAGATGAACCCTCAAAGAATGAAAGTTACAGGTAAACAACCTGCCTTTCTTCTTTGTGGTCTCTGTGCATCACACATGTGGGCGATTAGCAAGTGTACCCTTCATGGATGGAGGGGTTGGCATCACTGGAGCATTGCTGAGAGGACTGCCCTGCCGAATGCACAGTCCTGCCTTGCACAGATGTCAAGCCAGGACTGTCAGAGGAAGGTCGACAATGCAGTCCACATGGCAGGCCTGCAAATGTCATGCAGCAGGATGCCAGCTAGCAAGTCAGTGACAAGGCCTCTGTGTGTGGGGAGTGCTTGTAGGGATGTTGAGAGGTCAAGTCCTGCCATGTTTTGGTCCACCAGTAAAGAGTGTCTGACTGACTGTGGGGGGGAGGGGATGTTATGGAGCAGGGGTCCTCATCTGCAGAGAAGGTTCCCATGAGCTGGAGCGGGAGTGGTTTCATGAAGAGATGGATGAGGTGCACTACAGACACCATGGTGGCCATGAGATCCAGCAGTCTCAGGACCATATGTGCTGTGCAGCAGGCCACAGTCCTGACAAATGTGGCCAGTGCACTGAGGGTTTCCATTCTCGGCTGAGGGAGGAATGCTTCGGTGGCTATGGAGTCCAGGTGACCTATGAACAGAATGGACTGAATGGGAGAAATAACAGACTTGTGATTAATAAGAGGTCCCAGATCCTGCAGGAAAGCATGTGTGGTGTGCACTGCTCACAGGAGGTCATTTCTCAAGGAGGCTGCCAGGAGCCAGGAGTTCAGGTACGAGAAGACCTGGACACTCTGTAGGCTGCAGGGGGTAGTGGCAAGTCCGAAAGGGAGGACTAAAAACTGGAATGTCTCCTGCCCAATAAGGAAGCGGAGGCAGTATCTATAGGCATGGCTGATGGTGGTATGGAAATAGGCATCTCTGAGGTCGATGGCAGCAAACCAGTCCCCCTGCCATAGGAGAGGAAGGATGCTTTCCAGGGTGGTCTGAGGCCCTGGGGTGGCCGAGAGGTGGGAGCACTTCAAATTTGAACCTGTACCCTCATTCCACTATAGGCAGGACACAAGAGTCAGATATTATTGTCTCTCACGCTGGGAGGAATTGTACTAAATGGCCATTGAAATTGATGGGTGGTAGGGAGGGCCTACCTAGGCAGGGTTCTCAGGGCCTGCACCTGGTCTCCTGGTGTTTAGCCCCTCTGGAGAAGCTGGGCATTGCACCTCCTGGAGAGAGCTACTATCCACAACCTGAATGCGCGATCTGGGAAAGGGCGACAAGTGGTGCTCAGCAAGGCCCCTTGCCACTTACGCTGCTGAGGTTGGTGGGCGAATCCCATACACCTGGCAGTGTTAGGGCTTTGTCTATGTTCTCGTCAATGCAAGTGCTGAAGAGTCCCTCTCCATCAAAGGGCATGTCCTCTATGTGTGCGCATATCTCCTGCGGGAGGCCTGTGGAGCACAGCTAGGCATGATGGTCGATGGCCACTGCTCCCATCATTGCCTTTCTGTCGGGGGTACAGGGGGACAAGGGGGGCCGGGGAGCAGGTCAGGACAGCAGGGCCACATCAGTGGCAGCATCTGGTGCAAGGTGAGCAGGCTGCGGATGTGGCACCTGGGATAGGCCAACTGGTGGCAATCGCCAGGCCCTGGTGGCAGCGGCGGCCGGAGATAGGCTGCAGCAATGGCAATGGAGATCAGAGGTGAGCCTCAGCAGCAGCAAGCAGACAGAGACTCGGTGGCAGCAGGGCCTGAAGGCAGAGGTGTGGCCCAGAGGTGGACTGCAAGAGTGGCAGTGGGGCCTGAGGGCAGGCTGTGGCAGAAGCAGACAGCAGGCCATGGAGGTGGTGGCAGCACCTGAAGGTGATCCTCAGTGGTGCCAGGAAGGCCACGAAGGTTGCAGCAGTGCTTGGAGGTGATTCCTGGTGGTGGCAGGCAGTGGTCCATGACGGCAGCTGCGCTGGGTGGTGTTGGTAGCGGTGGCTGGCTAGCCGGCTGGCCACAGCGGTGCTCTTGGAAGGCCGTGGCAGCACTCTTGGAAGGCCGTGGCAACTGAGTTATGACCATCGGCCAGCTGACTGGCTGGGTGCTCTTTGCAGCAACTTGGAAGGACTGTGGCCACAGTTAGTCCATGGGCCATCTTCCTGGCCCTCTCCTGCAGTTGGGAGGGCCTCAACAGTTTTGGTGGAGGCCCAGTAGTCCAGTAGTGAAAGGCAAAGGGAAAACAAGAATGAATTTAAAAAAGAGAGAGAGAAAAGGAGAGGAGCAAGAAGCAAATTCGACCTAAGCGGTATGTGGTCAAAAAGGAACTGAGGGACTGGGTGGGAGCCCCTAACCTTGTAGCAGGACTCTAATGGGGATGGGTGGCCCTGCCCACTCTGTGATGCTGAGTTATAGAAGTTTCTTCCAACCCTGGCCTTCCAATTCACTTAAGCCCATATGTGTGTGAAGCACAGAGACCACAGAACCACAGAAATGGTTCACCAAGTCTGCAACAGAGGCTAAGGAGAAACATCAGTATTCAATTTACTAGTATCTTTCATCTGACTTCTGAATCCACATCTCTTTTACTTGTGTCTGTTTGCACCTTGACTAGTAGTTGCTTCCCAGAATCTATGCTCCCTAACCATAACACACATTACAGACACCTTGCCTTCATTTGGACAGGTGCAAGCCTTGCAAAGAAACTCAGCTCTGCTAATAGGGCTGCTTTTTATGCTTGGAGAGGTTTTTTTTTTACTAAGGTGAATAATGACAGTTACATAACCTTAAAAAATGAAGCTTGAGGAGTGCTGACATCATGCAAGACCATTTTGACTGTATGAACATTGCTTGAGGCAGAGGAAGTTGCATTATACCATATCAGACTTTCGGCAGCATTGGCCATAGCACTCCAAGGCTTAAACCTACTTGCAGATGCATCTCAGACCTATCTGGCGATCTAGGGACTAAACTAAGGATTGCCCGCATCCAAAGCATATGCTCTGCCACTACGTTATGGCCCTGGTGGCAGTAAAAGGTTTGGAGAATAGATAAGTCAGTACCTGTAATGGGGTCATGGGCAGCCATAAAAGCAGCCACCATTTCTTTTGTTTGTTTATTTATTTTTAGGAGGAGGGAGTTAGAGAAGGGCAGATGTACGATAAGAATTTGAAGAGGTGCCCCTATAATTGTAGTGGGTGGTTCATTTGTCTAGCTAGGTGATATTCAACCCGTTCTGGATGAGATTGCACTCCCCACAAAGGGCAAGGTTTGTAGTTTGGGGGTGCTGCTGGACCCAGAGTTGTAGCTTGAGGCACAAATAGATTCAGTAGCATCTAGCACCTTTTATCAGCTTAAGCTAATATACCAAGAACAACCCAACCTGGACAGAGAGAGCCTAGCTACAATTATCCATGCTTTAGTATCCTCTTGTTTGGCCCTAGCAACAGTGATTCATGCACTGGTAACCTCCACTTGGACTACAGTAACACGCTGTATGTGGGACTGCCCCTGAAGACAATCTGGACTTTGCAATTGGTTCAAACTAGAGCTGCTAGACTGCTGAAATTTGGAATAAGATATATAAGCTTATTAAGACATTCAATAAGTGGAAGAGTACACAATTTTCAACTCAAGTGTTACTATTTATGATTTAAATGCAGTTAAAATGTTAAAGCTTTCATGGGTTTGTGGCAGCCATGTGATTCTTGCTCAGTGTGATTCTTGCTCTTTAAGTAATCAGAGTTATCATTAAGTGATGACAGTAGATAAGTACCAGGTGCTTGAAGCATCATATCAGGAATCCCAAACACTCTTAGCCCTTGTATTTAACTCTATTGCAGATTACTTATAAAAGTACTTTTAACTATAGACAAGTCATTTGCATGCTGTACAGTTAATGGATTTTTTTATATTGTCCATAGCCCAATTTAATTTACTCCAAGCTTCAGAATGCATGTGCTCTACATATCAGGGAAGTTCACCTGATAACTGAAGAGTTCAGGTGCTTCATATCTAGTATCTTAGTTATAATCTTTACAACAAACTCATAAGGTAAATCAGCATTGTTATCCCCATATCACAGATAGGCATGGGACATAGAGGTTTGCCTAAAACGTTTGTGGAAGGAGTTCCTAAGTTCAGACTCCTAGCCATTACTTTACATCACATCACCGATTTTTGCACATGTGGGCTTGCAATTCAGGAACAAAAAAATTCACACTCAGGATATAAATTATAGGACAGCTCTGGCCCTGTTCCAAACACATGTTAGGAATGATTAACATGATGGGATAGCCATGCAATTTGAAGCACACAGGAGTTAGAGAATGTGAACATACACTGGAAGTCACTGTTTCACCACTCTCTCTACACTGTTGTACTGTCAAAAGCTTTGAGCTCAGAACTGCAAAAAGTTTTGCTTTCCTTATTCTCATCTGAAGCAAGCTAGGTAGAAAGCAAACTGCAAGGGAATAAAAGTAAGATTGATGTCAGACCCTAGATATAGGGGGCATTACAAAAGCCTGGGGGAATGGAGAGACCAGTGGGATATAGTCACGTCTGGATAAAAACTGTACATGAAGGACAAGAAAGGGTGTAGAGGAGAAAATGTTGCACTATGTATATTGAACAGTTAACATACATTTAAGTTACATTTGATTGCAATTTAGGAAGCTCTAAAATTGGGAACTGTTAACAAGGGAGTTCACTGGGGGATTCAAAGGGGTTAGATCCTTTCAAAATGCTCAAAGTCTGCTCAAAACCACAATAATAGAGGCTTAGCTAGAAAGTCTACCACTGGTTAGGAAGTTAACACCCAGTCTAAGAATTCATCGGCTTAGTTAATCAGCACTATCAAGGAAACTGACAGAGAAAAGACTTTCTTCCAAAAACTTGTAGAAATTAGGAAAACAAAGAGGACCATGAGGATGCACAGAAGAAATGCAAGAAGACAATAAGAGACAAAAAAAGCATTTTGAGGTGCAACATCAAGGCCAACAGTGAAGAATTTTTAATCAGCAGGAAGTTAGCTAAAGAGTCAGTTCGATCTTAGTTAATGGACAACTACAGGAGCATATGGAAATTTCAGAGCAGTGGAATGAATTCTTTTCATTTTCCTTTACTGCAGAAGATACAGAAATTAAAATTGTGCCTGAATTTGTGTGAATCTGAAAGTAAATTTGACTATGATGTGAACTGAAGCTAAGTCTGAAAAATTTGAGGCAAACAACTGGTGTCAAAAGATGAAGTTCTCGAACTTATAGGCAAACTGAAAGTTGATTAATCAGCCAGAACTCAAATAATAAAATGCTGATCTTCTAACAAAGTATGTCAAATATCTCTAAAATAAGCCTCTGTAAGAGAGTACTGGAGAAGGGCCAATATAACACTTTTTAAGGAATCCAGGGAGATCTAAGAAATTGCATGCCATCTTAGCCTAATGTCTGTTCTGCATGAATTGATTGAAAGCATTATTAAAGATAAAATTAAAAAGCATATAGGAGGACAAACCCTGTTGAAATAATCAACAGGACTTTCAGAATGGTATGAAGCGACTGTAAAAGAGGCAAATTCCACACTGGGCATAATTAGGAATGAAATTTAAAATGTTCTCCCCACATACAAATGTATGAAGCAGCCACATTCAAAGAACTGCAAGCAGTCCTGGTCACATTTAAAATATGATATTGTAAAGCTGGAAAAAGTACAAAAAGTACAACTAAAATGATCAAGAGGTTTGAGCAATTCCCCGTGAGGAAAAGTTACAAATCTGGGATTGTTTAGCTTAGAAAAGGGATGAATAAGAGAAAACATGACAGAAATGCACAAAATTATGTATGGCATAGAAAAAGTGGATAGGAAGCTATTTTTCTGCCTTTTCCATAACACTAGCACCTGGCATCATCCAAGTAAGCTGACTGGTATAAGATTCAGGACACATAAAAGGAACCACTTCTACATAGTTAAGCTATGGAATTTACTCCCACAAGATGTAGGTGGCATCCAGTTTGGACGTTTTTAAACAAAAACAAAATAACAGCAATCACAAGTAGATTCATTGATCATATCATGGATAGTGCTCAATCTACGGGGAAGGTTTCCTGTATATTTGGATCATTATGGAATGTTATTGGGTTTTTTCTTAAGATTTGTGACATATTGATATAAAAATGCTAAAATAGGAGCATCTGATATAAATGGGTTGGAAAATATTCATGATATATATGAACAAAAGACTTACCCAAACTGACCCCAAAAATTCAAGGTTTCCTTACTTGTTGTTGTATCATTAAGTGATGTAGTTCCATTGTCATGCAATGCTCCAATGTGTAGAAAACTAATGGAAATTAGCAATATCAAACCGGGATATTCCATCCTGGACCTGTCAAGTAGAAATGAAAAGAAAGAAAAGCCATACAAAAATAAATACTCAAAAAGTCATGTTCACATTCTCACACTCTCAGAAGTGCAGGAACCAGGGTTCTTTTTTTTTCTTGAATGCCTTTTATTAGTTACCATGACCAGGTTTTTATGTTCAAATTTCTTTAATCACAACTTAACTGCTCCAAATTTTAGAGCCAATCTAAATATTCTGATACCCACACTCAGTTTAACTACAAGGAGCATGTTTCCTTACACTGGTATAAGGGCGTGCTTTCCAATTTTTCCTAAAATTTCAGGTCCTCTCCCCAAGGAATAAAAATTAAGTGTATCCACTGATTCAGATGGAGACCTTTTATAACCCTCCAGGTGCCTTTTGCAGGGTGTACGTGGAATTCTGCAGAAACTGGGGAGAGGGGTTAATTCCCCCATCTAGGATCACCATGGTCCTGGTCATGCAAGTCTAACCTTTACCTGATTATAAGAACATTTAACTTAGAACTTATGGTCCACTTTTTAACTCAACAGCATTCCACAGTTGAATAATTACACTATTAGAAGGCTTTCTCATAGGCATAGTGAGCATAAAAGCTTATTACTTGGAGATGCTTTCAGTCCTTGCACAGATGTTACATCAGAGGGTACATCTCTTCCTGTTCAATATGCATAATAGTAATTCTCTCTTCTCAGCATTGGAATGGTACATAAGTTCCATGTAACAACATATTGCATGTTACATGGGAAACACCGAAAGAGGAGATGTGAATCATGTACATGTCTTCTACTGCTTATTTGTTGCATCCAAAAGTCTGCACTAATTACAGGCCTGTTTCTTGTTGAAGAAAGAAAAATTGACACATATTTTAATGAATAAAGAGCAAATAGAACAAATTCCAAGGTCCTGCAATGATCACTTTATGACCATCTGCTGACGTGTTTTTTAAAATGAAGAGATACTGTTTTGTTTTGAGGGAATTTTTTTCCCCTCAGAAAAGAATATTCATACACACAACTTTGTTACCTACCATCTGAACTAGCACAGCTGTGAATATCAAGTTTATCAATACAAAAATAGTTTACTTACATCTCTAAATTATACAGTTGTAGATGACTGACTGTGCTACCATGTTTACATTTCAACATACAAATAAGCAGCATATTTTTGTCATTCAAAACTACACATCATGAGCTCAATCTAATCTACTCAGGCAAAGTACTACCATCTTCAAGGAATCCCACAAGGCAGGGGAAGGAAATCTTTTTTTCCTTTCAAGGTCCACACTGCCATGGCTGAACCTATCAGGTCCAAATTCCAGCAGTAGGTGTAGTCAGAGCCAAAAATAGGTGGAGCCAAGACCAAAAGCGGGTGTGGTGACAAACTCACTGTGCAAAGGTGCTGGGAGAGAAGAGAGAGAAGTATTTGCATCTAGATATTTTCCCTCCCCAACTTCATGAGCTTTCCCCCATTAGCTTTGTAGCAGGAGGACAGGTGGGATAAAGGCTATGTATGGAAGTCTCAACTGAAGGCCTGGAAGTCCATGAGCCACTCCTCATTCCTTCCATATGGCATAGATATCTTTTTCTCTTCTCCCTCCCCACACACAAGCATTCAGCAAAATAAGCCCTTATGGGAAATGGGACAACCCTGCATGGCTTCCACGTATCTGTCACTCTTCCTTCTGGAAGGAAAATAAACAATTGGTCAAGGAACACCAGACCTTGTTCAAGTTGAGAGGTTGAGCAGTCTCCCTACTCCATATCTGTAACAAGTAGGATGACCACTTAAATGCATTACCAAAAAAGGGCAACAGACTACACAATTTGTATAACCTGCATAAACACTTTTAAATAATAACTATAATGACATTACTGACATGTGTTGCCAACCACCTCCTCCTGCAGAAAGTAGAGGAAGGAATGAGAGGAACAACTATCCTCAATTTAATACTAACTTAGCGGGATGACCTAGTGGACAAAAAAGCAGCCATGGGAACCTTGGGACAAAGTGACCTTGCGATCCTTGAATTCTCAAATCCAGGATCAGCCAAAGGTTCCCATCCCATTTAGTCACAGTGAAATAGCAAGAATGGAAAATTCTGTGAAGGTCCGTGGAGACTTGCTCGAGACTTGCTCCCTTGAACAACAGGGTCTCTACCTCTGCCATCAAAGTAGGTTAGGACAGGGTGGTCTCAATGCAGCCTAGGGCATCAAACCCAATCCCGTATCCCTGATGTACTATGGGGAGGACACAGGTGATGTTCTCCCAGGCTGGGAACTGTGCCAAGTGGTTTGTGAACATTACCAAGGGTGTGGGAGCTGGTGGGGGAGGAGAGCCTGGACTTAACCCTCAGCATCTAGGCCTGTTGTCCTGGTGCTTGGGTGGGAACCTCTGCCAGGTCTGAGCATCCCACCTTTTGGGCAGCTGGTGCCCATGGGGGCACTTGCCTCTTACACTGGGGGCGGGGGAGGCTGCTGTGCAAACCCCATGTGTGCAGCAGTGGTCCTGGCCTTGTGGAGGCAGCCATATTCTCATCCATTCAGGCACTAAAGTGTCCCTCCCATCAAACAACATGTCCTCCATACAGGCCTGAATCTCTACAGAGTGTAGCCAGGCATGGAAGCAGATCGCCATGGCTCCCAGCAGAGCCTTAACATCACAGTCCACATGGTCCCTTGCTGCCTGGAGCTGGTATCTAAACAACTTCTCAGACTCAGCATGGACTAGGTGCATGGCATAATATAGCTTCACTAGGAGATGCTGTGCCATCAACCCCATCTTTTCCTAAGGGAAGAGCTGGTATCAGGCCATGATCACCTTGTAGTTAGAAACACAGAGGATGCTGCATACACCCCCGGGCCAGACCATCGAGGCACCTCCCCTCTCTGTCCCCAGGCATGGACTCAATGATCATGGAGCTGAGTCTAAGCTACTGGTTCAGGAAGGGGAGTGTGTTGTCTGCCACCCAGTAGGTGGACTCATCATGGTGTGAGGTGGTCAGGCTTGCTGTGGGGCCCTTCCAGGACTGCTGCATGGTATGAAGCAGAGCTGGGAGGAACAGGATGGAGACTGGGGCTGGGTAATCTAAAGTCAGGGCCCAAAAATGGAGTCAGCCATTGGCTCCATGGGCTAATGTCCATGTGGAGGATAAAGGCAATAAAGAATCTCCTTCCCCTTATAGATGAGTCCAATTGCTGCTCTGGTCCTGGCACATTGAGCCAGCGAGGTCAAGGGGTAGGAGAGAGGGACCGGACCAAATTGGGGGACCAGCTCTGACCTGATTCAGAAGAGGAGGATCAGCTGTGGCTGGGCAGTGACAGCCTTCTACTGGAGAGCAGTGAGTAGCATGATGCCAGATGGCAGGGGCTGCAGGAGTGGTGGGTATGCTAGGTGGGCCCATGGTTGTTTAGGGTAGCTCAGCCCCTGTCAGCTTGGCAAGTGGCCACTGGTGGTAGCCAGTGCTGCTGTGGTCCTGGGGATGATGTGGGGGACTGGTGTCGGACTCTCAGCCAGTCTGGCATTGATTGCAGTACAAGTGGCTTGTGGAAGGGCCTGTGTAGGTGTGGGAAGCCTTGCGATGTCAGCACTGTTGCTGGCCTACATCAATGGCGGCTGTGGAGGAAAGGGTGAACTTTCAAAGTTGGGTGGTGTCAGGCTGGTGTCCGTGTCAGCATGGATTGTCAGGCTGAGCCAGAGAGCAGCCTTGACAATGACTGGGGACTGCCCACATGTGGGGCGAGGCAGTGCCGGTAAGCTCGTGGCAGTGGTCAGTGTGGTGCTGGCAGGTGCAAGCACAGAATGTGGCACAGTTGTGGCCTGGAGGGAGGGCCTCGCCAGACAAGTTGGACACAGAGAGAGTGACCACCTGTGGCCAGGAGGTGTGCTGTGCCTCGTGCACAATGGTAGCTGGGGAGAAGCCAGGTCCATGGCCGTAGTTAGAGCACAAGAATCATGGAAAACAAGAAGAAGGAACCTGGGCAACATTCTCAAGAGGAAGGGAAGAGGGAGCTGCGGGAAAAGGGGAAAGTAGTCTCCCTGTGCCATAGGAGCAGGCCAGGGGTGAGGAAGAAGTCAGGGAAAAGTGTAGAGAATGGAGTTTTGTTCTGTTCTGTTCTGTTTTGTTGGGAAAGCAGTGAGGAAAGAGCGAAGAAAACATAGCTAACCAAAAGAAGAAACAACTTGACCAACTGAAGTTGATCCAATCTGGCAAAGCAGTGAGGTGTGCAGTGAGAAAGAAACGGAGGAAGCTGTGCTAGGCCTGTAATCTAGGCCTTGTGCTACATGGTAAAGCCCACATGTGTGGATGCACAGAGTCCATGACAAAGAACAGCCAACATTGTCCCCATTTTCAAAAAAAAGTGAAAAAAGAGGAACCTTGGAACTACAGACCAATGAGTCAGACGTCAATCCCTGAAAAAATTCTGGAGCAAATTATTAAAAAATCAGTCTGCAAGCATCTTGAAAAAAATGCAATGATTAATAAAAGCCAATAAGGATTTATCAACAATAAATCCTGTCAGACTGATTTAATCTCATTTTTTGACTGGGTAACTCCCAAACAGACAGTGGGAATATTGTGGATATAATCTACCTTGACTTTAGAAATGCTTTTAACATAATGTCCCATGACATTCTGATAAACAAACTAGCAAAAAGTGAACTGCAGTGAGAACAGATCTTGATAAATTTGAATGCTGGGCTGAAAGCAACAAAAATGAGATTCAATAGGAACAAATGCCAAGTCTGCCACCTAGGAAAAAGAAACCAAATGCATCAATACAAGATGGGGAATATGTGGCTCAATAGAACTGAAAAAGAAAAAGGTCTTGAAGTTCTTGTAGACAACAGGCTAAATATGAGTCAACAATGTGATGCATCCGCAAGAAGGGCAAATGCTATTTTGAGATGTGTTAATAGAAGTATTACGTCAAATAATGCTCCTCATTTGTCAGACCTCATCTGGAATACTGTGTCCTGTTCTAGACACCAAGATTAAGAAAGTG